TGCTACTAAATATCAGCATGTTAGCATGGTAAATTGAACATTTTATTATGCTAACATTTGCATTTGGGTCAAATCACCCCTGCACCCCTATGGTTAAACTCACAAAGCATAGCATCACAAAGCATATCACTTGTTGTCACTTGCATGTTAACACCTCCTGTTTCTAACTACATACCTTGCAAAAGGTCTTACTATCTATTGAACAACATACTTAGAAACTCATATTTGAGGATTAATAAAAGATTGTTTATTTGGACAATCAAAAAAAAAAAACAGTTGTTTGTCATTTATTAAATAGAGATACTAAATATCTCTTAATTTTTGATTCTCCAATGTAAAGATTTACTGCTTTTTCATTTTCAGATGATTATACATTGAATAGTGAATGTTCTGTAGGTTGAACGAAATGAGAATCTTTACTGTTTTATAATTTTTACAACACTACTTATTACTGATAATTTGTAATGGGCATTTGGTGATAATTAAATGTATTTTATGATCTACTGGAAAAGACTCATCACAAATTACAGTACTATTGATGAGTTAAGTTTTAGTTCCCTTTCCAACCACACAATAGATTAATCAATCATTATAATAGTCATCAGTTTAATCTCAGTCTTGGCCTCTGCTGTCCTCTTTAGGTGTGTGAAAGAGGCGGACCTCTGGAACTGGTAGAGCTTCTGCTCAGCCGAGGCGCCCATGAGCAGCACCTCCGCAGGTCGCTGGCTGTGAGTGTGAAGAGGGGTGACGGGCCCATAGTTATACAGCTGCTGGGCCGTCTGGGTCTGGACCTCAACAATAGTGCCCTCTGCCTGGGCGGCTTCAGGCTGGGCCGCCTGGATGCTGCTTGGCTGAGCCCCCTGATGGCCGAAAGAGGCAGAACTTACAGTCTACGTTACATCAACAGTGAGGAAAATATACTGTATTTCTTGTCTTTATATTACAGTAAAGTAATAATCATCTGATTATTGATAAAACAAGCTATACCTTTCGCTGTGTGAAATACTGATGATGATTATTTACTATTTTCTGAGAACTTTACGATTCAAGAAAATGTGTTTACTTGGTAATGAAATTAATTACTAGATGCACCTCTAAACTCATCATAACTGTTCTCTGTCTTGAAGGTAAAGGTATGAGTTTGGCGAGGTACATCCAGTCTCTTCAGAGGTCCAAGAATGGAAATGGTCCTCTCAAGTCAATAGCTGACCCATGTCTGACCTCTGGCTACATTTCTGATGAGAGTGACGACTCCAGCTTCAGTTTCATCTCCATGGAAGACAGCCTGTTTCTCAATGATGACATGGAGAGTGACGGTAAAGTCTCAGAGATTCTGGCTCCAAAACACGTGTTCATAAATGTTGGATAGTTGTGTTCTCTATGGGACAATTAGGGGTTACACAGAGTTGAAAAGTAACAGAGAGCAGATGTCTTCAGCCTTGAAGTGTATCTGACACTTTATTAGATTTATAAACCTGAAGCAGTGTTGTTCAGATAAACAATGTAATTCTACTTTAGACTGCACTGGGGAGAACTAATCTGTTTAGACTGAGTCTCAGTGACATTGCCTCTCTTTGCTGTTGTCTTCTCTTCTCTGAAACACAGTTGAACCTCCTGTACATTAACATCATCCATTTTTCCACTTCCAAGATTAACATTCTGTCATCCATCTTAACGCTTCACACAATCCCATCAAAGAAGTCATATTGATTAGTTAAAGATGTTTTTGACTCGTGATTAGCTTCAGTCTATTCTTAGTTCATGCGTGGCGTTTTTTTAGTAACTTGTTTGTTTTAATTTACATGTGACCTCTTACTTCAGACACAAGTTCAGGTTTTTTCACCCTACAGTGACTCTTTAACTCAAAGCACATTTATTAGTTATCAGTTTTAAAAAGTAGTTGGTCATTTAAGACATGTGTCTGGCTGGTGTCTCACATGATGCAGCCGCGACCATCTGCAGAGTGCATTCAGTGGGCTGTTTTCGTTGTTGGTAAATGAATTTGTCCTCACAGGAATTTGTCTAGATTTTGTTTTTTAGCCCGGCAGTCTCAGAAAATATTTTTGTATCAATGGTTTAATCAAAAAATTCAATTTAAAAATGTTTAAGTCTTAAAAAGGTAGCACATGTCTGTGTGCATGCCCTGACATGCCAACACTGGGGCTGAGTAGAAAAAAAGATGGGGGAAAAAAAATGCCTGCAGTCATCAACATTTTTCATATCACAAAAAATAATGAATATCCTGCAAAACTGAGATGAAGGGGCTGGATTTACTCTCATTATTTTCTATAGTATATAGAAATTATAATAGTAATTTAATTAAACTGATGATGAACCGACCATTTAAGTACATCTAATAGAAGAGATGCTACAGCATATTTGAGGAGATAAAGTTCACCCATGAAGCCCCATAGTGCAATAATGCCCATAATAAATACTTAACCATCAGCCCAAATCTACCGACCGTGTAGCTGACAACACCTTTTTATGAGATTATTGTTTTCCAAACTTATGAAAAAAATCACATGTCCTCATCACGACAGCAGTTTAAAATGTTTTTTTTATTGTTAAAAAACTACTTGTTGCTATTTTGTTAGTTGCCTTAATGTTAGAGAAGTCACATTCTATATTTAATTATGGGAAACTTCTGTATGTACCAGCAGTAATGTCACTCCTGTAAATATTCTGCTATGTGACCGTGTATGTAATAACAAAAAGTGGGAGAGTTGGCAACCCAGACATGTGGTATATCTTTCTATTCGCCTATTTAAAAATGTATTTTTTAAATTGAAAATCTGTGAAAAATCCAAATTTTTACTAAGCAAATCAGCTATCCAGTTACTTTTTTCTGCAACTTTAACAGACTACAGTTACCTTTTTTTGTATCTTAATTATGTATCCTCATTCTATTTATTTTGATAATTTGAAAGTCTGAACGTATTAGTTGCTTTCTGATAATGTGATCGCCTTTCCCTGTGTGCTTTTCCTTTGACAGGAAGTGATTCACTATCTGGCGCTCTGTCTCCAAAGTCACATAACAACTCAGCAGAGGAGCTGAGGGGAGAGTCCTTCAAGCGGAAGCAGGGACGTCGCAGACATGCCAGCGCAGAGGTAAAAGATTTTACATGTTTACACTGTTACATCACAGTAAGTACAGTGGTATGAACATTGTTGACTTTGGACTATTAAAGAATATTACAATTTACAGTGAAGTCAAAGATATACTTTCCTACTTTTCTACCTAGTTTTTCACTTGCTTACTACCAGAACTGTAAATCTCACCCAGAGATAACCCTGTTCCCTCATTGTTATCTCTTTCTCTCTTTTGTCTTTCTTCTTCCATCTCCAGAGTGGTCAACCTGACAATGAAAGCAATGAACCGATACACAGAAGATATGCAAGGACTGGATCAAACCAAAAAGGTAACTCTGTCATATTCAGGTTATTCTCAGTCTGATTCACAGCATCCGTGCCTCCTATCGGCCAAAACTGTTATGTAAACGGTTTCACAGATTCATGCTTTTGATGGTGTCTCAGGTGGTGATGAATAAATGAGTGAATAATAAAATGAAGCATTTTACCATTTTTTAATCATTAAATAAATATATGTGTGTGTGTGTGTGTGTCCAAAGAAGTGCAATTAGATGTTTCACAGTTCCAGTTCAGCTATTTTTATTTTTTTTTGCAGAAAATTTGATCCAAATATCTTTTTTAAACAATGACTAATACAAATGGGACTGGTTTGTGATTATTATTATTAAGCCTTAGTTGTTCTGTATTTTTGTTCAGACAGTGTGACTACAGCTATAATTATTGTTTACCTATAAATTTACTAAAATGTAAAAATACTGAAAAATCTCAAACATGTGCGTCACAGGTGTACTACAACAGCCTCTGACAAGTGAATATTTAGTTTTCCTGATATCTGGGTTTTAGATTGTAAAGTGAAAGTACCAATGTGTGTTTGTGTCTGGACACCTTTACATCTGTACCTATGTCTGTTCCTTTGTTGTGAATGTGATGACTCGACAACATCTTGAGTGAATTTCATTAAATTTGTCACTAACGTTCACTTGGACTCAAAGATAAACTGACCAGATTTTGGTAGTCAAAATTCACGATGACATCACAAATGCATTTTTTGCTACAAGTCTAGAAATCATACGCTAATTATGGCAACATTTCACCCAAATGTTTAAAAGTATAAAATGATGAAATGTTGACATTTTATATCCAAAAGTGCAAAGGTCAGCTTTACTGTGACATCATATTGTTCTGCAGAAACACTTTTCTGGTCATAATTCAACACCATAACTCAGGAAGAGAAGGGGAGGCAAACAGCAACAAGGCAGTGATCTAGTTTGTCTTTGATAATGATCTGCAAATGTTGAAATTTGTGTAACTTTACATTATGTTTCTCAAGGAATAGGTGTTTTTTAGACTTAAACAGTGGTCTATAGTGTTGTATGGGAGGACCCGTAATGACAAATAGATAACAGTTGTTGAAATTTATAAAAAAATAAAAATAAAAATTGGCAGAGGTCATTTTTTAAAAGAGGAATGTGTTCTCGAAAATACATCTTTATTGCCATTAATATATCCACACTAGTTTTAATTGGGTAATAACTGAATACAGGATTGCAGGTGACTCACAAACCTAATAAATAAAAAAAAGTCAAAAAGTGATAATTGTATTCTGGTGTGGTCTCGACAGTCCTGGGGTTTGGTGAGAATTCTGCTGCTCTGTCCAAAGAGAGGGAGAGGATCCACCTGCTTGATTTATCAGGGAATGAGTTGGACTCTCTGTCTTGTTTAATGGACGATGGCTTCGACAAGCAGCAGCTGTGGCATCTCCTCCGCTTGGACCTGAGCCACAACAGTCTCCTGGAGTTTCCCTCTCCACTCTGCCAGGTAATGTGTCTGATCTGTAGGTAGCCACCAAGTGATAAAAGGGACTGTATGCTGAAAATGTTATTTTTGTTTTTTTGATTTAACACAGAATTTAAAGAGTCTGACTCGATTGGACCTGCAGGGAAACCAGCTTCAGTCACTGCCTGAAGAGCTGCTGTCTCTGCCCTCACTGAGCATGCTGAACGTCTCCCGTAACTGCATCGGGCCCCTGCTCACCTTTGACCCTGCTGTCACCTGCCCATCACTGAAACAGCTCAACCTTTCTTTCAACAAAATCACTGCATTCCCTCATGAGCTGGGCCGCACTATGGGCCAGCTGGAGGAGCTGTCAATGGAAGGGTAGGCCACTGGGAAATGGAGGAGTTTCACACCAGTGGAAATGATTGTATTTGTTTTATTGTCCACATAACAAGATTCTCTCTGGCTATTTATTTTCCAGAGAGGGGAAAAAATGAAGAAAATTGTGCAACTTCCATTTCAACAACTGATATATAACAGAAAGCAGGCCACCAGTGATTATGGGGAATTTCATAAATTTACACAACACGTCAATGAGTTGTTAAATGGCTTTTATTAACTGTGTTTTCTTTCTTGATCAGATTTCTCAGATACCTTACGAAACAAATTACTGCTAATTACAAAGCAATGATTACGAGAAAGCATTTAAGAGTGAATCATAGCTTTGCTAAGGCTTCACAACCCTCTATTTTTTAACAGTAGAAAGTATTTTGGAAATATGAAACAAATTTGGTGTGTAATTTTTTTGAGTAATTTCCTTTTTTTTGAGAATATGCAAAATTTCAAAGTTGTATGCATTTCTATGACCCAAAATTAATTTTACATTTTTGTATTCTTACTGTTAAATCAGGTTCTTCAGCAGCAACATAACCATTTTATTTAATGTCATTGTCATGCATCCTCATATTTAATTGTGAAATGGTGAATAAAACGGTTATTTTTATTTGTCTTTTCAGTAACAGTATAACTGAGCTGTGCACGCCTCTGTGTCTGCCGGATATCAAGCTGCTTGATGTGAGCAAGAACAGTGTGGAGAATATTTCTGCTGACTTTCTGAGCAGCTGCCCCAAACTTGAAACTCTTAATGCCTCCATGAACAAAATCTGTGAGTACTACCAAATGACTATTAGCTTTTTGATGTGGAATACAGTCAACCAGCCAATGACCCAAACAGAAAGATGCGGACAGACAAAGCAAATATGCACGAACATACAAAGATCTTTTCAAGGACATTACAATCTGACTGTTGTCAAAGGCATTTAAATGCTTTTTCAATACTGACAGTTTTTTTTTTTAAATTTAGAAACACATTTTCTGCTTTAATAATAATAATAATAATAATAAGAAGAAGAAGAAGATTCAATGATATCTAACTTTTCTCAACAATGTTGCCATGCGCTTCACAAAACAACAATAAGATAAGAATAAAACAACACTCAATCATTGTCACTGTTTTCCTCCAGGTTCCCTGTCACATCTGCCATCCAAGGTCACAACAGTGAAACTAGCAAACAACAGGTTCACTTACATTTCTGAGGCCATACTTGATCTCCCAAAGTAAGTCAAACTCTCAGCTACTTTTCTTGTTTTTTAATATAATAATAACAATAATGCATAATGTTTCCATTTGTCCAGCTTGCGGTCAGTGGACATGAGGACCAACAGTATTGCTGTTCTGCCTGGCCCGGGGCTCTGGGTGTCCAGCAACATCAGAGAGCTGATGTTCAGTCAGAACTGTATCAAAGCTCTGGTTCTGAGTGGACCAATCTACAAATGGTCCAGACTGGAGAAACTCCATCTGAGTGACAACAAGCTCACTGAGGTAAAAGACACCCTACAGCATTTGAAAAGAGTGTAAATAAGTGTTTCTTGCAAACAACCACCTTTGATGATCTTGTCTTTTGCATCCAGATCCCTCCACAGATTGGGCTGTTGGAAGGCCTCACCTCCCTGGATGTGAGTCGCAACACGAACCTGCGGTCCTTCCCAGATGAGATGGGAAAATTGGGCAGACTGTGGGACTTGCCACTGGATGGACTAAAGCTGCAGCTGGACCTTAAACTCATTGGCAACAAGACTAAAGACATAGTCAGGTTGGAGGCTTTACAAATGGAGATTCTATTTGTTAGATAGCTGGTGCCTATTTAATGACATTTGATCATCAGAAATCTCATTTATGTAATTTTTGCCACAGTTACCTTTGTTCACTCTTTGTAGAAGAAAACAAAAGTCAATAAAATTAAGTTAATAATGCAACAGATACCACAACTGCTCCTTCATTCTTTGCAAATAGATGAGTATGAGTGTCTGTCCTATTCTTCTGCTTCCAGGTTCCTGCAGCAGCGGCTGAAGAAGGCAGTGCCGTACTACCGGATGAAGCTCATTGTGGTGGGGAATGCGGGCAGTGGGAAGACCACCCTGATCCAGCACCTGATGAAGCTGAAGCGCACCCAGGTGAACTCGAAGCAGAACGCCGCTGGCATTGATGTCCGGGACTGGGCCTTCAGGGACCGGGACAAGAAGATGGTGCTGAATGTCTGGGACTTTTCAGGTTTGCCTACATATAAATTCTGAATGAGTAATTCACACAGCAGTGAACGGTGCATGTACTTTGATGCTAACATTTTGCTTGGTTCATTAGAAGCAGGATCTCAGTGATCAGTCCATACAGCTTGTTGCATTTATATTGATGATGTTAAAGAGTACAAGACTGTAGTACATAGAGGTCAACCAAAATCATATCAGAGTTGAGTCTGAAGTGGTAAAGACATCCACCTTTTTGTTTTTAGGTTGGTAACTTGTTCGTATGGTGTTTGTTTGTTTTGTTGTTGTTTTTTTTAAAAAAAATCCTGGATGGATATAACATAAACTTTTATAGTAAGTAATAATATACAGTCAGAACCATGCTGAACATTTCCAACTTTAAATTGCAGTGTAACACTGATTGTATCATAAGCATGGATTCAGACTTTCAGGTTTTCATACGTAGCAAACCTATGGAATCAATCCTGCCAATGTGCAGCATGGGACTTTCTGCATTGTTATCTTTTTTCAGAATTAGTTTCTGGTTTGAACATGTATGATTTACTCTGATATTTGAACTCGCCATTGTGTAGTGTAGACTAGTTTTACAGTGTCTGTAGGTGAGCTGGTATGCTCAAGCTGCTATGAGTGGGGAGTGGTGAGCTGAGAGAGAGACAGGGACCGCAAAGTTCGGCGCATTGTAGAGGAAGCAACAGTGTAGAGTTACATTTAAGCCATTTAAGGCAGGAAGAGATTTTTTTTGTGAAAAACATTTTTAAAAATGTAACTTCGATAGACAAAGATTAATTTTTAGAGATTAAATCTATGACCAGAGAGGGATTTTAAGTGTACTTGAGTCATAATTTTGAGACCATATAACATAAACCACAAACATACAACAAAACCATGCACAGTTCTATTTTCCATATACATAATTTGTGTGAAAAATTGACAGCAATAAATGACTGAAATAAAATACTAAATAGATCTTGCCTTAGTAATAACAAGCCTTCCACAGATTTTCATTTTTTGTTGTTTTTTATGCAACCAAAAATAGCTCTTCTATCTTGGGCCATGTTCGCATCATGTTAGCTGCTATAAAGCTGATGTTCTATGTCATGCCTAATGTTAGCCTTGTTTCTTTAACATCCAGATGATAATGGAGAAGTCCAAGCTGTCAATGTTTACAATACAAGTCAGCTCAAAGTTGTGCATGATTTCAGAAACTGATTAACATACATGACTTGTCTCATCAAGTTTTTCTTTTTAAAGTGAGTACTTTTGCTTTTGTTGGTACGTCAGTTTTGAGAGAGGTGTTTTCTTGCCTCTTTGTGTGACAGGAGGAGAGGAGTTCAGTGGTTCTCACCCTCACTTCCTAACACCCAGAGCTCTCTACCTGGTAGTGTACAACCTCAGCAAAGGAGCCAGTCAGGTGGATGCTCTCAAGCCGTGGCTCTTCAACATCAAAGTGAGTCATAAACCAAGTGTCAGTTGAGTCTTGATGAATAAACATGTGTTGTAAGCAAAACTGTGTGTGCGCTGCTTTTGTAATTGAAGTGTGTGCTGAGCTGAGACTGTTGTAGGTTCAGATCCATCTTATGAAATGAAAAATAGAAAATGAAGTCATACATGCATGTGTGTATTTTTATTTATCCATTTATTTTTTAATTACATTTTTTTTTTAATCCTTGCTTTTTTATTCCAGGCAGTAGCTCCACTATCTCCAGTCATTCTGGTGGGAACCCATACAGATGTGAGCGATGAGTTGCAGCTACAGGCCTGCTTGAGCAAAATCAAAGAGGAGCTGCTGAGCCACCAGGGCTTCCCTGCTGTCAGGGATTATTACATGGTGTCTGTCTACGAGGACTCGGATGCCATGGCAAAACTACGCAAGGCCATCATCGGGGAGGCCACCAGCTTCAAGGTAAAAAAAAAAAAAAAAGAAAGAAACATGCTACATGGTAATTTTCATTTCCTTTCCTTGCCCTTTTTTTTTTTTTTTGAAACTCATCTCCTCTTGCTCTGACAGATCCAGGGCCAGCCTGTGATGGGTCAGCTGGTGCCAGACAGCTACGTGGAGATGGAGCGCCGGGTTCTCCAGGAGAGGACCAGGGTTCCCACAGAGTTCCCCATCCTCACACACCGAGAGCTGCTGCAGCTCATCCAGGAGAGTCAGCTGCAGCTGGAGGAAGCTGAATTGCCCCACGCCATCCACTTCCTCAGTGAAGTCGGTCAGTAAAGTCAGGGCTTGGCTAAAGAGGCTGGTGCTCGTTGCTGATACATAAAAATTTCAAAGTCATGCTGAAATGGTGTGTTATCTTGTTAAGCTAAAATGTTCTGCATAATACACAGGCTCTGTTTTTTAAATTAATGTAATGAAAGAGATTGGTATAGTTTTAATTAAAGATACAGTAGTATCCTAGTTGAATATTCTCTGCCTCAGTCCTCTGTCATTAGAGCATCAACACTTACATAATAGAGGCGGGGCTAGACCAGTGTCTCTCATTTTCAGCAATGTGAAATTAATGTTTTTGTCGATGGGGTCTGATGGCTTTTAGGACAGCTTTAGTTCCTCGTCAGAAAGTGCTGTCTGATGGCAAGATATGCAGAGAAAATATTCTAATTATAGCGTGCACTTAAAATGAGCTAATTGTTTTTAGCTTGACCTTTATTAATGCAGCGGAAGTATGTTTTGATGCTGACCCCATCCACATCCCCGTCCACTGCAGCACACTGCATACTTCTATGCCAATCCTATTGTCTGCCTTTCCAAACCGCAGGCATGCTACCTGTGATCCACTCTAGGTAATACACTGATTATGGATAAATACCAATACAACCTCACTTCAAAGAAACCGAATAATCCTTTTAAAATAACAGTTGAAGGAAAAAAAGCTAACTATATTAATAAATAGTTTGATATTAATTTCATATTTCAAGCATTGATGTTGTGTCTCTGTAGCATCACATTTGTCCAAGCTCTGCTGTATTTGTGTCACTTCAGGGGTTCTGTTGCACTTTGACGATCCTGCACTTGAGCTTCAAGAGCTCTATTTTATTGACCCACAGTGGCTGTGCAACATCCTCTCCCAGGTAACCTTTTTTTTAGTTAAGCTAAACAGATTCTTCTTGAAGTAGGCAACAGTTTCATAACGTCTTTTTGCTACAACTCCAATTGTGCAGGAAAAAAGGAGAGAAGTGCACAATTTCTTTGAAACCTTGAAACAAATATGCTTTAACATTTAATGTAAAGATGCCCTTTTTAAAAAATGTACATCCCACTGCTACTTTTAAACCTAAAATCAGACATGCATTAAGCTCTTTTAGACAAGAACCTATGGCTGATGCATGTGTTATCTGTTCCCTGTGTAGAAACTGGCATTAAAAAGCTGTGGCTTTTCGGAGCATCCTAAAGGGGTTGTTCAGCGCTCTGTTGTGGAAAAGTTTCTGTCTGAGACCAAATGTTTCCCAAAGAGCCACCTGACGCACTTCTTTAAACTGTTGGAGAAGTTTCAGATTGCTCTTCCCTTCGGCGAGGACCAACTGTTGATACCCAGCAGGTATTGTTTAGATCTGCAAATTTAGGATTGTATCTTTGTTGAGGTGCCAAGAACAAAAAGAAATATCAATAAATAACTCTTTCTCACACACAAACCCATTAACCGGTCATCCCATCATCCACAGTTTGTCCAAGCACAGACCAGTCATAGAGCTGCCTCACTGTGAGAACTCAGAGGTAATTGTGCGTCTGTATGAGATGCCGTACTTCCCCATGGATTACTGGTCTCGGCAGATAAGCCGCCTACTAGAGTTCTCCTCCTACTTGCTCTGTGGAAGAGGTAAATAGAATATACGCCTATATAGTTACTATTAATTTAGATATTCTGCAGTTAAAGATTTAAAGAAAGAAGATAGTGATTAATAAAATCAATCTGTGTGCTCTCCAGAAAAAGTGCTTCGACCTCACCGGGTGTACTGGAGGAGAGGCATTTACTTGAACTGGTCCCCTCAAGCATACTGCCTGGTGGAGGCTGCCTCAGTGGAAGAAAGTCCCTCCAGCTTTGTCAGAATAACTGTGCCCTCTTCATGCAAAGGTGCTGTATTTTTTCAAAATCTGAAGTCTTGCTTCACAGCAGATATCTATAAATGATCCTGCATTTACATAACATAAAAGGATAACCATAAACTGAAAAAGAAAAAGAATCTCACAGACAAAATCATTTGCAGTAATGGCAATATCTGTTGTTGTGACCTCTCTTCCTTTCAGGCCGGGTGTTAATGGGTCAGGTGGTGGATCACATTGACTCCCTGCTGGAGGAGTGGTTTCCTGGCCTGCTCAACACTGACATGCACGGCAATGGAGAAGCTCTGATAAAGAAGTGGGCTCTGTACAGCTTCGAGGATGGGCAGGAGAGGAGCAAGAAGCTGCTGGAAAACCTCTTTACGTATTTTAAAAAAGGTAAACACTGTAAATCGCAATTAAAGATCAGTGCCTGTCTTTTCTACACGAGTTCAGCGAAAACCATTTTTCAAACTGAAAATAAGCTTCAAAACAAACTGACGTGGTTTCTACAGTGTTCAGATTCCCCTTACTGTATTTACACATGGTTCCAGTCATCTTAAATCTATCTTATTTGGGATTATGTTATCAATTCTAGATTTTTTGCTGCCAAGCCCAGAGGATCCACGCTGCACCCTTCCCATCTCTCAGATTGCCCCTGACTTGGTATTGAGTGACCAGCCTGCAGGAACAATACTGGATAAGGAAGAGCTGAATGTAGAGCTTTCTAAGGAGAACCGACTTGGTACATGTTTTTTGTTGTTATGTTTTTTGTTTTTTTTTCTGAAATACACTTCAGTTATTAAAGCAAGCATCTCCACTGTTTACTATCTGTTTCAGTTTTGTTTTGTTTTTTGTTTTTTTTCCATAAATCTTTAATAATGATGAATAAAATGCATAAACATATATTTTCTTCTGCAGGGGATGGAGGCTTTGGAACTGTTTATCGAGGTGTCTATAAAAATGAAGAAGTAGCCGTGAAGATTTTCAACAAGCACGCGTCAGAGCTTTATATTTACAGACTCCTCAGACAGGTACCACCGAGATTCTGATAACAAAAGCACTCAGTCCCTAATACAGGTTTTCCTACTGCTGCTGTATCTTTGCCTGTCTTTATTCTCCTCATAGCTTAACCACTGATTTAACAGGATCTCATCAAGATCTCAACAATTACTGTAATATTGCAGAAGTTCAATTAGTTACCAGCTGTTTTAGGTCTGAACTATGCCACCACCGCTTCAAACATCTCGCTTGATGTTTTTCAGGAACTGGCTGTGTTGGGCCGTCTCCGTCACCCCAGTCTGGTGGGGTTGCTGGCAGCAGGCTCAGCTCCTCAGGTTCTGGTGATGGAGCTGGCTCTGCGAGGCTCCCTAGATTCCCTTTTTCAACATGAGAACAGTAGCCTCAACCAAAAGCTTCAGCACAGGATTGCCTTGCAGGTGGCAGATGGACTCAGGTAGGAAGTCCAGTTTTACACAGTGTGAGAGAAGAAGCTCTAATTACAATACAGTATGAAGTGCAGAGCTACTGTCATTTCGTATGATATGATACTTTCGTTGTTTTGGAAAAACAAAAGCCTTCGATGTTAAATCTGTGTCCACAGGTACCTTCACTCAGCCATGATCATCTATCGAGATCTGAAGCCCCACAACGTCCTCCTGTTCAACCTGAAGACTGACTCAGAGATCATTGCCAAAATCACAGATTATGGCATTGCTCAGTACTGCTGCAGCATGGGAGTAAGGAGCTCAGAGGGCACACCAGGTTAGACACTCCTCAAACCTTATAGATTATTATGGCCATTAAACATACAACTTCAATATTATTACAAATCACATTTTTCAGTCAAATATATTTTTTCACCAGATGTGACAGTTTTATGATATATTAGTAAGAATGTGATCCAAGTTTCCTAAGTGCAACACTGTTCTAAATTCATTTCTGAATCTCCGGCAGGTTTCCGAGCACCAGAGGTTGCCCGAGGTAATGTGATCTACAACCAGCAGGCCGATGTGTTCTCTTTTGGCCTGCTGCTCTACGACCTGCTGACCTGCGGTGAGCGCATTTCTGATGGCATGAAGTTCCCCAGTGAGTTTGATGAAATCGCAGTGCAGGGGAAACTGCCAGGTAATCACTTAAGCGTTCACCTGCAAGTATTGACAATGTCTGTAAGAAAATCTGTGTAACCTGGAATTGACTCTTTTGTACATTTTGTTTAATGTGTTGATGTCAGTCTGATGCTAGGTCCTGCTGCTCATACGATTTTTTGTGGGAGGAGAATCTTTTGAAATACATCATAAGATCAAACTCAAACTAATTGCTCATATTTGTGTTGGTAACTGAATGCTGTATTGAACCATTCTGGGTCCCTAAATCAACAAGCATAATGAGAAGCCAAATTATAGAAATGCAAAGAAGAAAAAAAACATTGATTTGATGCTATTCTTCATAAAAGGCTTTCTTCATGAAATTTTTGTTGTGTTTAAACTTTTGGTGTCATTGTAACCCTCTTGCTTTGTATTGTGCCTTTAACCATCTTTTTTTTTGCCATCAGTGTACATATTGACCAGGGGACAAATATATAAACCTAATTTTTTAAAATATCAAACACAATTTCATTTTAGACCATATCAATAATAAACAAAAGCAAACAAACTTTAGAACTGAATTTGTGAGAGTGAGTTTGAAAATCTTGGTTATGTTGAATTTCTGTCTGTAGATTTATATTTACCAAATATGTGTCAACATTTTCTATTATCCAAGAAAAATGTGTCGCTGTTAATTTGATCTCTTATTTTGCTTTCATCAGTTTTTTTTTTTTCATGTGTTTAGTCATACACAAGAAATAGTCAAGTTAAAGTGCACCTCCTGTCCTGTTCATTGTCCCATGCATAGATCCAGTAGAACACTACGGTTGCTCACCTTGGCCTGGCTTTCAGGCGCTGATGAAGGACTGTCTGAGGCAAAGCCCACAGGGTCGACCCACCTCTGCTCAGGTGAGGAGCTGAAGACTGTGGAACTGTGTGTAGAGGGTGCTGGTGGTTTTATTTTTCCTTAGAAAGGTGAAGAGGTTCAAATAGGGCAGCTCAGTGCAGAGACAAGCTGTAGTGGAGCGCCCTCCAGTGGCTGCAACACCCAAACACAATGGAACAGAAAGCAATGCAGCAATATACATAATGTTTTATGAGTTGAGACCTAGTCCAGCCCAAGTAATACACAAACCTTTTTTCTTTTCTGTTATGCATACAGGTGTTTGACAGGCTGAATTCAGGTGAAATGCTGTGTCTAATAAGGGAGCTTGTGGTTCCCCGGGTGTTCAACGCTGAGTGCTTCACAGTGAGCTCTGGTGCCAGTGACGGCCTGTCTTCCAGCCACATGGTCTGGCTGGGTGGTGGAAGCAGCACCCAGAGGCTGGGCTCCATCACAGCCGTGCACCTGGACACCAGCACAGTCATTGCACAGGTACTGACACACTGGTCATCTCAGCACTGATTATCTTCTTGAATATCTGTTCAGTGACAAATGCAAAAGAGCAAAAACAAAACTTTTTTTTTTTTTAGGAGTGACTTTTTAAAAAGAGCTTTTGTTTTTGGGTTTTCCCTTTGCTTTAGCGTGTTATAGCTTTATTTTGTAATTGGTCTATAAACTTACAAACTTTCCACACCACTGGGAAACATTCCCTCCTACAGAAAACACTATTCCTTACCTGTCTGAAATAAATCATTTGAAGTCCAGGCTTTTCTTCCGATACTTATCTACATCAACATGTAACACATTTACGTAACACAGCTAGTTTGGCCCTCAAACAAAGAGGCCTTAAAGAGATAGGAGGAAAAAAAAAACATGTGAACGTATTCTAGAAGACACCCAAAAATATAATTATAAAATTTGTAAATGTGAACATTATGGACCCTTAAATGTTGTTCATTCGCTATATTGTTAGTAGTTTAAATAATATTCTCATGTTATTACCTGCTTAAACTGCATTTTTTGATTGTTTTATTTCCTCATGCCAGAACAACAAAGTATGACGAACTATCAGCTATAAGCATGTGGTTGAATCACCTCATTCTTCTGTCATTGAAACATCTTTTTGCTTCAATAGTGGAAGAACAAGATATACAATTTTACACAGATCGGTGTGGTATTTAGTGTGAGTTATATTACTAAGTCTGAGATATGCTTGCTTTGAATGAAAAACTGAAAATATACTTCATAGTTTTTAGCTTAACAGATGTATTGCATTCACTGCTTTGTCATGTGAAAGAAATACCTAGTTTTGATCAAAATATACAGTTATATGTACAAAAAGATTGTGAGAATAAACATTAGGTTTGCTGGTCTCACTGTAGATTCATTGGTAGATGCTGAGTATCTGACTCCCCAGACAGTCACTAATGCTAAATGATAATGTAGTTATGGTGCTTGTGGACAAACACCTGTAACAGAAAAGTTTTACTGGGCATTTTACCACAGAGTACAGTCAGTATTTGCTGCACTTTGAACATCATCAATACCAAATACTGCTGTAACATCAGTGTTGAATATTACGATGTTAGATGTCACAGTTTATGTTTAAAGCTGGGTTGTTTTCTGTTAAACAGAAGGTCGACACCAGTCCCGTCCTGTGCCTTGTGACGGTCCAAATCCCAAACGATCCCTGTGATTGGCTGGTAGCAGGCACCCAGTCTGGCTCCTTGGTGGTCGTGAGCACTGGGGACACATCCACTTGGCACCACCTGCAGAGTGTTACTGACGCTGTCACCTCACTGTACTTCCACGTACACCCTAGTCGCACGTAAGCATGTGAAAACTGTTGCTGTCAACCTGTTGCCTCAGCTGAAATGTAAGTGTGAAATGTGCTTAGAGAAGTTCAGCAGACCTCTAAGTGATACTAATGCTTTACAGATATAGTGTATGTCTATTATGCCTCCATAATAGAGCATAGTATTGCAGTTCCGATACATGTCAGGTTTACTTGTCTTAGGTACGACTGCTGAGTGAATATTAAAGGATGATTTAATAGCTTAGGATTTGATTTAATATCTTACAAATGTAGAAACAATAGCTTAAGCTGTGAATACTGTGTTGTGTGTGAATATTCAGTATGTGCACAGTTTTTCTAAATATTTATTTATAGTGTGTGCATATGTAAAAGAAGATGAATTTACTCACTTCGTCATGGTCCCTCTTGAATTTTTCCAGTCAGAGAAAGAATTATTTGCTGGTCGGGACAGCAGATGGAATTCTTAGCGTTTACGAGGACTCTGTTCTCAAGGTAAATATGAAATAATAAACATAGGAACCACTGTGTTAGTTCACAAAGAATGACTTCTGTTTGCTGATATTCAGATATTGTGTTTAAATTATTACTGCCACAGCATCCTAATTCTGCACATGTAACACAGGAGCAGTTGGAACTTTATTTTCCTCTCGTTCTCTTTCCAGCAGGAGAATGGCCAGCCAGTTAAAACTGTCACTGTGGGCAACGTCAACACTCCTGTCATGTGTTTGGGCCAGTCAGTGCATTCTCTGGACAGCAGGTCTGTGTGGGCCGGCTGCGGGACCAAGATCCTCTCCTTCACCGCTGACTACAATGTCTGCAAGACCATCGACACGAGACCAAACCTCATCTTCCAGTGAGTCTGTCATGTGTAGGAATGTGAGACAGGGTTGTTACATGAAACTTACTTGAGTGGTTTTCAAAGACGTTTATGGTGGAAGGAGCTAAAAAATTAAGATCGTATTATCACCAGTAGTAATTTGTGAAAACAATTTTCTACATAAACTACATTTACATTCACAGATTTAATGCTTGACAAAGGTAACGTCTTAGTGAAACTGTGTGCATATTTTTCTTCCAGGCAGCAGCGATTATTGAGCGGCGAGGCATGTGTGTCTCGTATGGTTGTGGATAAATACATATATGTGGGTAAAGCAGGGACACCAACCGTCGAGGTTTGGGACAAGAGGAGTGAGAGGATGGTAGACTGCATCGACTGTGCTCAGATTATTAGGTATGATACACAATGAGATATGGAGAAATGCGCAGTTGCACTTTAAATTTCACTGATAATTGATTCTTTGGAGTGAGCATATCATTGGCTACAAAAGCTGAAACGAACACAACCATAATACAAGCATATATATGGACCGAAGACGTACCCCCTCCAACAGTAATTTACAGAGCATGCACGTTATTTACATCAGACACAGACTGTGGCTGGAAAGTAAAGCATCATGAATGAAAGAGATCACGATGTGCAGAAAATGTTGAAGATGACTCAGCACTTCCCACACTTTCACACCAATATATGATTTTGAAAAGACAGCCAAGTACATTAATGCACATTATGCCCAAAATCAGACCCAATTGTCTCATTGTAGTTGATTTTCTGTTAACACAGTCGTGGCCTTTCAGATTTTGAAATTTCTTCTTTACCTGACAGCAGCAGCCGCACGTTAATGTCTCCTCTCCCTGCAGACATAAGTCTGGCTGCAGAGACAGGTATGGCAGTCAAGCAGAGCAACGCACTGAGGCGTCTCCCTCCTGGGCCACAGTGAAGGCCCTGCTGGTGCAGAGCGCTGCCACTCTCTGGATCGGCACTAGAGGGGGCCACCTGCTGCTGCTGGAGCTCTCCAAACACCAGACGCTGCTGGTCACGGGGCCCCGCTGCGATTCCATCCGCTGCATTGCCTCTGCACTCATACGTGGGTCCTCAGCCTCTGATTAGTTTAATTTGTGTTTCATACAATCATGATACTGTCTTATTGTGGTGTTTGTTAATGTATTGTTTCAGTGATACACTTCAATATTACACGACAGGCGCACCTGTATACTGAGTTATCTTATTGTGATTTGGATGGACATGCTGCATACATTTGCATATTGTCAGACTTTGGGGAAACAGTGTATAATCGCTGGAAAAAAGGAACTTTAATGTTTTCGTTACCTTAGAATAAACCAATGATATCTACATAGAGAGCAGATCATCTCCCATGGAACCTGCCATGTTACGCTGTTATCTTAATATAGTTGTCCTGAAAGGGTCAAACCAAGCACTGACTCTAGAGAGGGCCATGCTGAATGTGTCTTCCAACAACTTGCTCCTCTGCACACCATTTATGAGCCACGCTATGTTTATTTTATTGGTCAAGTATGCTTGAAAATCTCTCATTTTTTTCTGTTTTTATAGTTTCTTGTTGTAATTTTTGCATTTAGAAAACAAAACACGCCTTTAAATGCGCTGGAGGCGTTCGGGATTCACAGGGCTAATGTAAGATGGAGATAATCACATTAAGCAGCTCAAGTGTCTCTTAAAACTTCAAATGTACTAAAAATGATGTTTCCTGCTTGCTCTCAGTCATTTTGTTGGCCTTTGTGCTGCAGCTTGAAGGTTAACTTAAAATTCAACAACATTTCACTGCCCTAAGAATCTAAAACACAAAACAGTTCCTAGCTGTATCTTGTGTTTTTCTTTTGGTCTTTTTGAGACATATTAGAGCTCAGAGTTTGCATGGAACAGTGCAAACACATAGTGAGTGTGAGAAATTATTTTTTTTAAAAAAGCAATGGAAATAAAGTTAGTAAAAAAAAAAAAAAAGCTTTTTAAACAGCTGGGTATTTCTTTTGTTTTGGATTCATGGTTTCTTGGGGCGTTTGTGTGCAGAAGTGACCCAGCATGCTGCTCACAGTTTGCTCTCATTTTCTTGTTTGTATTAAGATGCTGAATCTGTACCAGCTTTTCTCTATTAACTCAGAAACTAAGTTGTAATCTTTTTTTTTCCCTTTACAGAAACACTAAACTGGAAGAATGTAGTGCTGGTTTTGGGCCGAAGACTTCCACATGATAAGAATCAAGATGGTGGGTCTGATAGTTCATTGTTTGTCCCACACTTTGTGAAAACAGTTGTCTTGCTGTGTGACTTTCTCTGCATTAGTCCAAAGTGTGTGTGTTTGTTTCGGCTCTCAGAAGAGGAGTCTGTGCTGATGGTGTGGAACAGCATGCTGCCGATGGAGGTCAAAGACCTGACAAAGCACTGCGAGAAGAGAGAGCAGATCGCAGCGAAAATGAGAGAGCAGCTCCATCACGACTGAGCCCATAGGTTTGTATAAGTTAGTCTTATTTTCCTTACAACCTGCTCTTTAATATCTGTTTTGCCTTCACTTTTTACATGAAGTGAAACTGCATATAACTGTTGTTGAAGTAGCAGTGGTCAATGCGCTATTCCATTTCATTTTCTTATTTTATATTATGTAATAACAAAAAATGACCTTAAATTCCTTGAAAACTTTTTTTCTCAAAGATTTTTATAGAGGGATGGATGAATGTGGTCATTTCAGTGTCTGTGCTCGTTTCAGCTGTTCAAAGTGAACTAAAACTCTAATGGAAATGCGTAACACCACATGCTCCTGTGCACAAATCAGGACTAAATGATATATTAATGTGGACCCCAATGAGATGACAGATGGTGCGCTGTTTGGACACTGTCCATCAAACCTGATCTGATCACACCCACACATATGTATGAAAGTGCTAAAACAAAGGCAACCAAACTAGTTAAGTTGCTTTCATGAGTCCAGTTGGCTCATTTTTAGCACTTCGATATACCATAACCTTGATGACTGAGTATCTTCACAGACACCCACTAAGATCTGGTCTTCTGTAGCAGAGTAACAGTGTTCTGTACTATTATTAAGCAGAAAACAAATTCCTGCTTGTAATGGAGAAATGTTTAAGTGACTTGACTTGAACCAGACAAGTCTGAAAACACTCCTGGACTGTATATGTTTCACCATTATCTAATACGTCAGTCCCAAATCTTCCATAGATGTTCTATGGAGTTGAGATATGAGCATATGTTTCACATAATTTTTTATCAAACTATTTAATGTCCCTCCATGGAGGCATTGTCATCCTGAAAAATCAATACCATCAGGATAGAAAAGTTCCACAATAGGATAATCACTCAGAACAATTTTGTACTGATTTGCGGTGTGTCTTGCCTTTAAAGGAACATGTGGACCCAAAGTATGGCAGCAAAATGCCTACCACGGCAGAACTCACTGTACAGGCTAAACCGCTCATTTGCGGTAGAATTTGTTGGGGTTTTTTTTGCCAGAAATGCAAGTCGTAGACGTGGCAGCATTGCCAGAAGCAACTGTAGTAGTAGTAGTAGTAGTAGTAGTAGTAGTAGTAGTAGTAGTGCTACATGTTTAGGGGTGGATTATGTTGCATTATGTTAACTGTCATTTCAGTTTTTTTATTCTTCAACCCATTTCAGTGTTCATTTCCCTCGCCTCCTGCTGCTGGTCTTTCACTTACAGCTTTGACAGCTACTCAGACAATACAGATTAGCACCCAGCAAACATGTTGCAATTTCCTGAGAAAGTGCACTCTGTTCAATGTTATCTGTTTTTAGTCAAGTAATACTGTGATATGATCTTATCTTGTTATCATCCTACACATTTTTGACCATTTTGATTATCATAGTTTTTTGTTTTTTTTTACAGCACATTTGTCGAAAAGGGATTACCTCTCCGGTGCGTCGATGTGTCGGCAGCATACACTGAAGGGGGTTTTACCTCCATCTCTGACAGTACATACATTCAGTACATTGACCCTGAAAGAGCTAATGTGGGGAGCACAATGCAATGAATCAATCAAAATAATCTGATTCAAGACATTTTTCTATTTTTCATGATTCACATTACATTTGTAATATGCTGTGTTTTCCCAGTTGAACGCGATCTTTGAAGAGACATTTTTCTAAAAGGGACACAGATGTTTTCATTTGTCTTGTTATCAGGGCTGAGAGCAGTGCAGATGTTCAAGAAGACCTCCTGCTCCTCATGATTAGTTTTGTTTACTTGTAATATGATTTAAAAAACAAAAAAGCAAAACAGCATCTAGGAAGAAAGCCAAAGGAAAAAAAGCCTCATAAGTGTACATTTAATTATTTATTTGAATGTTTATGATCGTGTGTGTTTACCAGTGAGCTCAGTCACTCCACATCAGTAAACAGGACAGGCGACTTGGTTTAGTGCTGCCTGCTTTGTTCACGCTTTTTCATGTCCTGTTGCTTGAAGTCAGTGTGTGTGATTGTGTCAGTAAACAGTATTTTATGTACAGTGAAGGCTCTCTGTTTATGTTGTGCATTTCTCACAAGATGCAATATGGATTGAAGAAGTGTATTTTTTTATAAGAAGAGACAAGTAAATTTTCAGTGATTTGGTTTAAACATTTGTTTTCTATGGTGCATTTTTTAAATGTTAAGTATTGTGTATTTGCAGTTGGATATTCAGGTATCTACAGTAAGTTTTACATGTATTTTAGAGGAATACTGGCATGCTCATTAGAAAAACTGTTCAAACAGACAAAACACAGCCAAGAAAAAAAGCCCAGCAGTTTCAGTGTATGGATCACGTTTGATCTTTAATCGGGGAAAAAGACATTGCATTTGAAGCCATTTCATGGAAAAATTATTTACAAGGAGGACTCAGTCCTCATCAACATTGACAGCACATTAGTAAAAAACAAAGAGACGAGAGTTAAGGATTTGTAGTACTTCTGAACCTTAAAAACACTGTTCTGATATCCAAACTAGCAAGATAAATATATTTATAATATTTATATTATATTTACAGAATACTTTAAATATACAACGTCCATCATGTATTCTATAAACAAATATAAATTACTTAGGCACACTTTTGTCTCAGACAATCACGGGAGTGGTTTTCAAAGGCCATCCTCCAGCTGTTTGAACTAAGTTGACCTGAACTTTCACCAAGAAAAATATGTTCGACCTTGCATCTTTACGTCATCCAGAGTGGCTACACTGCTACTAATCTCAGTACTTGTTGGCCAACAGTTAGGGGTCATAATGTATACAACCATTTTACACAGCAGGACTTGAAGCTTGCTTGATTTACACTGCTCACAGACACAGACGCAGTCCCAAGTCGACCTCTAGACTCCCTGACCTGCTCCTTTGCAAACTCCTCTTTGCAGATTCTTGTTCAAGTAGGCCTAGTGGAGCGTTCACCTTATTGCTTACACCTGTTCTCTCCTGCAGGATCTCCAAAGAGGAGGGAGCAAAGACTGGAGGGGGGATAGAGATGAGTTGGGGATGCAGCTAAGCAAATGGGTGAAGGGTTAGACAAGTTTATTCCCAAACCTTTTTTTTTAAAGGTAGACAGTCATGTAAGGTTCAGAGACAACAAATAGGAGAGCAGCTACAATATCTACAGAGAATATACAGTATAAGTGAAATATACACTGATGATACGGCCGACTAAACGCACGCAGAGGGGTGGAGGGGAGAGGTGGCCAGCCGGTGTGGCCGGGCAGGGCTTACTATTACTGTCAGTCTATAAGTCCGACTCGGGCATATCCGGCATGTCGGCCATCAAGTAACCGATACCGTAGCGGCCGTTGGGTGCGGTGTCCGCCTCAGTGCTGCCACTGCCGCTCTGCTTGCGGTAGATGCTGTTGCCGGGCATCGGCGAGGGTGCCTCGCTGGGAGACTTGCCATGGATCAGGCTGGTGTCGTCGTCCTCCCCTGGCCGCACAGTCTCCTTGATGATGCGGCCCTTCTTGTAGGACACGGTGGAGAGGCCGCTGGTGTTCTCGTCGATGATGTTGAAGTAACGCAGGCCGAAGACCACGGGCACGGGCATGATGGCCATCACCACCAAGGAGATGCAAACCACGATGCCCCATGGAGGGAAGTGCAAGGTCTTCTCCACGGCCTGGAGGGCAGAAAGATGTAAGCATGTGATATCTGAAGTGCTGAAATGCCATTTCTGAATTTCTTCAAAAATGTTTAGCAGAGGAGTTAAGCTGGCCACATTGTGACATCCGTCCATCCATTATCTATACACCGCCTAATCCTCACTAGGGTCGTGGGGGGCTGGAGCCTATCCCAGCTGTTTTAGGGCGGGGGGGGGACACCCTGGACAGGTCACCAGTCTATCACAGGGCTACACTTAGAGACAGACAACCAAGCACACTCACATTCACACCTACAGACAATTTAGAATCACCAATTAACCTCAACATGTTCTTGGACTGTGGGAGGAAGCCGGAGAACCCCGAGAGAACCCACGCTGCATGGGGAGAACATGCAAACTCCACACAGAAAGATCCCAGGCACCCTAACCTTTACACAAACTGGGGATCTTCTAGCTGCGAGGCAACAGTGCTAACCACCGAGCCACCTTGCTGCCCTCATTGTGACATCTTCAAATGAATTTACTGAATCTACCTATAACACAGCCACATTCATTCAATATGTAGCATTTGCTATGTCACCAGTGCCAGAGTGATGGCCCACAAAAAAAGGTGTACTACAAAAACACACTAATACCAATAGTTACTGCTGGCTCTCTGTGTTTATGTCAGAGTAGGTTGAACAATGAATGAGTTCCAGATCAAAATTCCAAAGAATGAAATTAGCAAACCACAAAGGCTGCAATTAAGGATATACCTAATAAAGCACCTCTGCCAGAGGGTATCAACTGTTGTGTGACTGGTTTTACAAATTCATGCTGTCCTCCTTATGTGCATAGTAAAGCTCCATCATGTGTTTTAACTCAGTTATGCAGTAATTACTAAACTGAAGCTTCACTTCCCTTCAATACTGAACTCGGCTTGGCCAGTCAGGCTGTTTCAGGACAAACAGTTGGTGTTTTCTGCACATCTTGCAGCTCAGTCAGGCGCTTCTCAACTGGATGACAGCAAATTTCCACAGGACGAAATGAGACTGAAGTATATTGATTAATTCTCAGCCTTTAATTGTGCAAACACTGTGTCTTCATCAGAGTCAAAAGAAACAACCCTGATTAAGACACAGTAGTGTTGAAATGTTAGTCTGTTTGCACAATTAAAGACTGATTAATCAGTGTCCTTCAATCCCCGTCTGATGAGGTAAACTTGGACTAGTTTAGTTTTAGTTAGCAAAGTAGTAGGTAAAATAGTAAGTGAAATGATTTTTTTTTTTTTCATCATTTGGAAAACAAATAAATGTTTTTGTTAGCTGCAGTCCTGTTGTTGCCACTACGTTGACCGCACTTGAGGAGAAATGATGAACAGTTCTTCTGTTCGCTCAGGAAAGGTAAATCCACTTTAAAGTGAAGCTCAGCTGGAGGTGATCCTAATTAGCTGCTTTGGTGAGCTGAGATGAGTACATGTGGAGACACTTTGTCTAGTTTGGCCTTTGCTCCACTTCACGAAGATTTTAAAATAATCATACAGGTTTTTGAGTGTCTCATGGCAGACCACACATCCTGTTGATTGTCCTCTACGCCAAAACATGTGTTTATCAGCAAAAACATGGGCTTTTTTCTGTCACTTTTAGCTACTGCCTCGCTTTCTTTGAACCCTCTAATTTGCTTTTTACTCGTTCCAGGTTTACTGAGCGGGAGAACTCCCCCCACCATTGATCTCCAGTCTCCAGAGAGCTGAGCCGGAGACATTAACTCACCTCTTCCTGAATCCAGGCACTGTAGCTGGGCGGCGTCATGGTCAACTGGATTAAGCTGGAGCACAGAAGGACCAGCAGCAGGATGGGCGTGATGTACTTCCACATGTAATAGTAGAAACGGTACGGTGTAAAGCCCAGCATGTCCTTCAGGTCTTCAAAGAATCTGAGAGAGTGAAAACAGAGTGAAGCAGCAGGAGGCGAGATCAGATGTTTGCGGTGAAGAATTCACAATAGTTTCAACATCGTAAACCTGGTGACTTTTGCCTTGATGGATTCATTTAAATAGTTTCATTCAAAAAAAAAGTACACAGACTCTGCTTCCAATAATAGACAATGTTAAGTTATGTAACAAATAAGTGCAGTTTATAACCCTTCAAAGACAGTCTGTGCAGTTATGTCTCCTCTTAAGAAAAATACAAATAGTTTAAGGGCTTAAATAGCCATTACATTTTTAGAATATGCATGAGTGGGGTATTTAATATTTTATGTGTTTAGTAAAACGTCAAACGAATACACTGATGGTGCTTACTTATCGATCCCGTAGAACCAAGCGATTGCCACGTTCTCCAGTATGACCACGATGAGCAGAGGCAGAGTAGCCGAGTAGTCGTCGAACATGGTCACAAAGTAGTTCCCTGAGCGCTGAACAAACAGGAGACCGATGGAGAAGGCCAACACACAGCATCCCACTGCAGGAGAGAGGCAGCCGCTCAGTTACTGCACATGTTTAACGTCTAAGTTTCATATCCATCAACGTAACGGCTGTGGAGGCGTTTTATGGCGTATTATTGTCATCGTATCCCAACTATGGTAAAGAGCGGAGGAAAGCTGAGCGTAAGTGGAGTACGTTTAAGTAGAACAGGACCCATTTAAACCATCTGAGTCAAACGACCAGCTGGATGGCCCACATCTGTTGGCTGTGGTGTGCAGCAGCCACTTACCCACAAGGACCATTAATCAAAGCTGGTGTGTTGCTTCTGCTGGTGGAGTTTTTCTGTAATCATTTCACCCTAAATACTTATTTTCATCTCTTCCACTCTCTGGGGAAATAGCTTAATTTTGGGGGACAACCATATTCCTTTATTTTTATTTTAGGTTTACTGAATGGCTTTAGTTTGTAGATATTTATGGGATCAAGTAGCTGCTATTTTTAAAAGCAGAAAAACACACTGCATAATGTTTGAACGAGTGTGTGTTATTTTTGTAGAAGTTTGTCCTCTTTCTAAAAGATACACTCCAGTATTTATCTGTCATGGTCGTGCTGGAGTGTCATTTCTTTGTTAATTTTCAAATATATAAATATAACATTAAAAGGAAAACCAGCCATTATTGGAGCAGTTGGACAATCTCTTCAGACATTGCTTCAGAGTCCACAGACATCCAGGGATTAAGCTAAACTAACCTCACCATTAAGCACACAAAAGGCCTGCATGGGAGTTTGTAATCCTCATCCACCCACTATTGCAACATTTCTTATTACTGCCTCCATGTATCCTGCTCAACATTTGCCTGGTGCTGCTCACGATCCCTTTAAAGAACTCAACGGCACAAAAAACTTTTTACAAGAATCGCTTCACGCAGTCATTTAAAAGCCCTGAGCCTTGCGGAAGTTGAAGTGGTGTTTCTAACCTGTAAGAAACTCTTTTCGGACTTTAAAAGTGTCTATCAGTGGAGTGAGGATGCCCTCGATGGTGCCGAACATGCTGCCGAGGCCGAGGTTAACCAGCATGAGGAAGAACATGACGGACCAGAAGGGCGAGGCTGGGAAGTGGGTCATTGCTTCTGTGAAGGCAATGAAGGCCAAGCCTGTGCCTTGGACTGCCTGTTGGGTGGAGAGAAGAAGAACGGGAGATTAAAACACAGCACAGCACCTTACAAGGTGAGTCCTAGGACTTTACTGGAGGTAGCCACATTTTAGAGACCTCTGAGGTTTATACTTCTAATTCCCTTATTTTGCAAGTATAATGAAGACTCAACACTTTCATCAGTTTCAGTCGTGCAGGAGGCAAAATCCATTTCTTTTTCCTGGATTTCTGAATCCTCCAAAGAGTGTTATATTTTGCAGCAATAGCAGCATAATATAATAACATTAAAATTAACATTAAATACAATGAGCTGTGTTTACGGTAATCCTTCCTTCATTTAAAGAGTAGTTCACGTTTTGGGAAGCGCAGTTATTTGTTTCTGCTACAGTTTTCATGCTTTAAATATAAAGCTACTGCCAGCAGGTGGTTAACTTTGCTTCCATTAGCAACAAGACTCCAGAAAATCACTGCATCTAGACACAACATCCCATAAAACTGTAATGACAGGTTGATTTTACACCTCAGTTTTTGTGTGATTTAAACAATTAAGTTATGACATGTTTGTTCTTGAGCTTAAGAGGTATATTTTGTGACCTTTGAACAAAAAAGAAAATAAGCATATTTCTTAAATACTGTAGTGTTTTAAATCAATATTTGGCCGACTGACTTTAATAGAGACTCCATTACATTTTTTAGTTGGTTTTTTTTGTACCTTATTGAGCTCGTCCTCAATGCTGCAGGATTCCAGTCCCAGCTTCTGGTAGTCATCCTCCTTCACCCCTTTGATGATCTCTATCATCAGATGGTAGTCTTCAGCACTGACCTGACTAACCTGAGTAAGGTTGATGTGGTGAGGAATAAGGCTTTGTTCAATGCCATTCCCCAATAACTCCACAATCTTGTTGGTGTTCCTAAAGAAAAGTAACAAAGTTACTAAATGACCAAAAATATCTAAGATTTATTCATGGATTTAAATATCATCTTTAAACCCCCTGGAAACATCATGTTCAGAGATTTACAAGTCAAATATTTTCAAAACCATATAACCTAACCAAATCTGATCCTTTTTATTATCAGTTGTTCAGATTATTTTTACTAGAAAATGGTGAAAAACACTCATAACACCCAAGAGTTTATTTTCTGACAACCTATCAATAATTGTAGCTGTAAACTACAGATCTACTTTGCTTTTTAAAAAGCTACATTCACCATTTGACTTCAACTCCTACATCAGCTCTTTACTGCTCACAGTCTACAAGAAGCTAAACATGAGAAGAAGCTTTTACTCACAGAGCGACACACTTGCTGTTCATGATGTTGGCTTTGAAGCCGAGCACAGCAAACACCACCAGGGTGGCCAGCACGGAGGTGAAGAAATTGATAAAAGACACCAAGACGGCATCGAAGTGGCAGTTGTTGTCGCGCTTGTTGTAGCTGGAAAAGGCGATGACGCCACCAAAGCCCAGACCCAGAGCAAAGAAGACCTGCGTGGCTGCCTCCCGCCACACCTTGGCTTCCAGCATGATCTCCAGCTGAAAACAGAACACAGATGGGTTTGGTTCAGCTCGATAACACTGAGCACCATCAAGATATATGTGTTGCATTTTATTTTAGAATCATTTCTTTAAAGTAAGATCCTGAATATAACACATGACCAAACAAAAACCTCAAGTCAAGACTGAGGGGGGGTTTGTTTGTTTTATCTTCGTCCTGTCCTTTCATATCATTTTAAGCGGAATATTTTTAGGTTTTAGATTCTTGGACAAAAAAAGGACAACGATATTTTGCCAATGATATAAATAACTGGCAATTTCATTTATGATGTGTTTTAGAGGCTTTGTATACTTTATTAAACTCAAGTCTGTGTGTTTTCTCTGCTTGTCCTGGTGAAGACTTAAAACTAAAAGTTAAAAGATTAGAAGTATGCTGCTTTAAAATGCAAATCATTTAGAAATACATTTTTAAATGAATTGTTTTTACGAACCAATTATGTGTTGTCAGAATTAGCATGTAAACATGCAGTTTTGAGGGATTTTGCTGTCTCTCAGTGCACCATCTTGACAGCTTCCATGTGGGTATTTGTTATTACAAAAGTCTTTAAGTGTTCCACGCACAAAGCCTGGCGCTCTTGCAGCGGGACTTTGAAGTCTGCAGGTACATGGACGGTGGTGACAGAAAGTGCCGTTTTGAAGTTGTGAGCCGACAAGACAGAGCAGACACACAAGCCAGACACGCTCTGCTGTGCACGAGTGTCCTTGCTGGGCTGCTTACATAAAGACTCGGTAGCTCCTGTTTCCATGGTGACATGATTCTGCGGCCCGAGGTGCCATTGGCCAGTTGCTGCCGAGTAGTCAGCCTATTACGGCTCATATTTAGCCTTTTGAGTTCAGATGCAGTTTACTTTAACAGTGATCTCAACAGGGAATAAACAGGAGATGCAATTATAGTATTTCTGCATTTCTAACATGCTGATTGCTCCAGAGGTGGAAAAAAGAGTCAGACTATTTACTTTACAAGTAAAGATGTATTTGCAGAAAAATGCAAGTACTCATTGTACAGAACAACCTTGTTCAGCGTGGCATAGTTATATAACTACAATATTAGACTAATATTAATATGAATTCATTCATATGCGTTGTCATTGCTGGCAAAAATAGCCACTTTATTTTTACTGTTAATGAGAATATTGGTTTTGTGAATAAAAGTAACTTGTCAATAAAGCTATGGGAAGAATGTAATGGCACAAAATACCTTTGTTTAAGAAACAAAACACTTGGCGTATTTCCTTGCTGGATTCTTCAGCATGGTTGCTCTAAATCTGTGCCCAAATAGTTTAGAAGGGCGTCAAGCGTGCTTTACCTTGGGTGTGAACATGTGTCGGATCCCGTCCACGGAACCCTTCAGGAGCAGAGCCCGAACCAAGAAGCAAATCAGCACAACATATGGGAACAGAGAGCTGAAGTACATCACCTGCAAGCAAACCAAACCAAAAAAACACAAAAACTTCAGTTCCTGTTAGCTTGACAGGCGTCAGAGTGTGTGCGTCTTTGGAAACCGTAAAAATAAATGCAGTGAGATCTCACTGCACCATGTGACAGGAAGATCAAAATGTGCAGCAGCAACACTGAAACTTGATCAGTTCGATATTCAAATGTGCACTTTGTTTGAAGTAGGTGACAAGTGTCTTGTCAAGGGTTTCAGTTCGCAGCAGTGAGATGTATTCAAGACATGTTTTCATTCATTTTTGTGTCCGTGGCATTTATAGTAACGTTTAAAGTCCCAGGCCAGACCTGGTAGCTGCTGGGCCTGTGTGAGGGCTGAGCCTTTATCACGCTAATCAGAGGGTGGGCCTCTTGTCTTTTTCTTTCTCCCCCCAGCACTACACATCGTTAACTGGAGGCCCTTTCTGTAAAGACGAGCTGGCACTTAAAGATTGAGAGCGGGACTGAAGATCTGAGTCAGTGCAACACGTGGGTTTACAGGGCTGACTGTAGGGTGTGGGTGCAGACGCTGGGAGATGCTTTGGGGTTGAGTCATAAGAACAGTAACCGATTCAGAGACAGTGAGCCTCCTGCCTGGTGGTCCATATGAAAGAAACTCAAAGCAGAATCAAAAATTAAACATGCTCGACTATACTTTCATAATAAATCAAACTGGGATCCTGTAACTGGTAAGTAGTGACCACAGAGTTGTTCCTGTTTTTCATTACAAAGGAAATATCACCACTTTCAAATATCACATTTTCAAAGAACTGGAAGTAAAATAAAGCCTAAACGATCATTTAGAAATTAATTTATACATTAAGTTTAGGATTTTTTTATGTGATGATCCCTAAACATAAAGTTAACTGTGATAACTGGAGCCAGCTTCTTCACATAGCTTTGTACTTTTAAGCCTTTGCAGCACTGTGCTCTTGTTTAGGAACTGAGTTGTAGCCTTGGCACAAAGTACAAAGCCAAACAGACTGCATATCTGCTGCTTTGTAACCTCAGTCTTATGTTCTACCAAGAAGGGACCTTTACTGTGAAAGATTATGTGTGGTGGCAGAAAGCCAGAGCTTCTTGCAAAGGTCACGTTCTGGGAACAGCACTGTTATCTTTGTATACTCATACAGAAGTTAGGTTTTTCCTCTGACCACAGACAGACATGTCCGATTTCTCATACACGTGTTAGTTGTCTTGTCAGTGTTTATAACATTACATCATTTATGATTCTGTACAATGGCACAACAAAACAAAAGCAAAAATGAGTAAATAAAGTTCACCATATTTTAACAAAATGCAAAGTCTGCAACACATCATAAGCTAAAATGCCACCCCATCCCCTCCTTTATTTGCCACACTCTTGACAATCTAGCCAAGCCAAAAGAGCGCGTATAACCATGGCAACCAAATGGTCTGATCCCTTTTCACGCCCACCCACACACACACACGGGACAGAAATGCAGATCGCAGTAGGGATATTCCTTGGAAAGGGCTTTTGTGTGAACACGGGTGGAGAGGGCATTAATATTCTTTTATATCACACAGCGCCGATTAAACTTCAAAGACACTTGGTGCGGGCCCTTTCCAGGGAAAGTTAATGCCCAGCTCTACTGTGGCCAACTCAAAAGGGGCCATCTAGACACACCAGGTAGTCAAAAGACAACCATCTGGCTCAAACTGTACAAGTAATTGGCAGCTTGGGTGGTTTCTGATTAGCTTACAAAAATAATGGGTGGTAAAATTATTGTTTCACTCGTTCATTGTCTTTCTGAAGACAGTGGAAGGACAGGAAGACCTTATAAAGAACCTGGCACTCTTGATGTACTGACTGTGGTTATAAGGGACATTTCATGCCAGGTGGCAGGGTGTGGCAGACAGGCAAAAACAGAGCAGCGCCGCAAATCACCATGGCAAGGACCAAGATTAAAGCACCTCTGTCGTAGAAGGTATCCATCTTGTTTTGTCTGTGGCTGCTGTGGTGAACGTGTAGCCAAGCAAACAGTAGACAGCTGTGAGGATAAGACTTGCGCTAAGAACAATGTGTGGATCAAAGGTGGGAAAATTCATTTAGCTGGCTGTGGCCACATCTCTCACACCGTCTCAAGGAACCGTAGTTACAATCTGATGGTGCACATTATCCTGAGACGTACTGCAATGATGAAACTCAGTAGTTGCCACCTAAAATGTTGAGCCCAAGTTAAGTAGACCATAGTCTTATGCTGTAGGCCACACTTATATGAATATTTTTCTAGAGGAGTAACTTCCCCATCCCTTTAAAAAAGTAATACTGACCTCACAACCATTGTTTTAGAATAGAATAGAATAGAATAGAATAGAACTTTATTGATCCCTTTGGTGGAAACCTCAGGGAAATTGCTGAATTTACAAGATATTTCTGTACACATGAGAACACCAAAATGACAAATACCAGAGAAGACTGTCATTTCATCGTTTCTGCACGCTTTAACCATCTGAACCCCAAAACCCACCGGCAGGTTTGAAAAGCATGATGCCTTAACAAAATATTAAAATGACACATTTTACTATAGCCAAAAACTGTAAAAACAGAGAGAATCGTGAACTGTCCAGCGCTCCTTGATCTACTCATCTGAAATGTGTCCTAATCAAAATCACTTTATTCTGCATGTCTTGTTTAAAAAATGTTGTCAAAAATAAACCATTTGCTCAAAAAAAAAAACCCCAAAAAAACAAACAAACAAAAAAACCCAGAAACGCTTCTTGGTATCAGCATGAAGCCATTATTGACTCATCTGTGATGTGACCAAAATTCAAGGACTTTTTGGCTGAACTGGGTTGAAGTGCAGGCTGTGGTTACACAGAGGAGACACAAATGGAAGCAAATTAAAAATGGAAGGTTTTCCAGTATTAGTAACATATGTGGGCATTTGGAAAAATGTTACACGCGTCGATTCCATTTTTAATTTGATTTTTGTAAAATAACTAATCAAATAAATTACACTTCATTTTTTTCTTTATTTGTGATTTATAGCTTTACATATTTGTAAATGGTTTTTGGCCTGCAGGGGGACAGGAAACATCAAACCAAGCTGGCAGATTTGCAGCCACGACATTGAACTGACTTACAAAGCTGCTATAGCGAACAGTACGTTAGCAAACAACTGCCAACCACTAGCTAGTTGCTAACTTTGTGTATTGGGGTTTGTCAAACATTTTTTGTTGCCTACAAAAACTGAGAAATGCAGCTGAGATTGAACCACACAACAAATGTGCTGTAAAACCAAAATAATGAGCAAGGAAAGACTAAAAGATCCAAATGGGCTGCAGGGCGCTCGCTGAGTTAAGTTCAGTCAACCTTATGAGTCAGCTTATAAAATTCTGAGAGATCTTACTCTAATGCAGACACAAAAAGGGAAATCTACTGTATTAATTTTGACCACACGCTTTGTTGCAACCTGATCCATGCCTAACATAATGTCAAAATTAAATAACTTCCACATCAAAGCTTATTCTTGGAAGATTATAAAGTACGGCCACTTTTCCAATTAGCACTGGCTTGACTCTGACCTCCAAAGCGCACCGGCTAATGCTTGTCATATGATATGAGAAAGTATGGAGTGATAATGATAACCTGTAAAAAGAGAGGAGGAGCGCAGTGAGTTTGCAAGCAAATGACAACCTTTAGCCAGTGGGCTAATCCTTCCGGATGTTAGTCACGCTACTGTCAGCTTTGTTACACTAAGCTAAAGTAAGCTGCACAATCCCACACAAGATCACATGAGCTCTCAGAATCATATCTGAGACTGTATCATTAGAAAAATTTGTCAAGTTACATTATAGTGGTCACTTAGCAGTGCCTTTAGACCCAGCTAAAGTGAGCTAATTATGTGTGAGAAGATTTTCCAAAACACTTGGCGAGAAAAGACCTTTTGTTTCAGTTACTATTGTTTTTTTTGTTTTTTTTCCTGGGTACAAGTGTTATATTTGAGTAGGTATCTAGGCCAAGCTGCCAGCATTGCAGGGCAGCTGTAGTAAGCAGTTTTCCTTTGTTCTCTTGCTCTCACAAACCATCTCCTCTTCTGCTTATTCTCCTACTTGTTAAAATATCGTCTCTTGTTATTTTAACTATTTGAAAGTGAGGCAAAAGGAAACTCTACTTACCTTCCCAGAAGACTGGATGCCCTTGATCATGGCGAGGCAAACCATGGACCAGGCAGCCAGCAGGCACAACGTCATCTTCCAGTTGAGTCCTCCACCCTCAGAGATGCTGTCAGAGATGTCCAGGGCCTGACGGTACCAGTAGTAGGTGGTAGCCGAGCTCTTCTCACACTCTGGCACCACATCTATGGACAAAACTATAGCTGTCATATACCTCCTTTTAGGATTACCAGTGGGTTACTGAACAAACACCATAAAAGCTTGTACATTTGACTGCCATTAAATTGGTCGCTGAATGTGATGAGCGACTGGATCTTACATGTACTGGTCTTGTTCTTGACAAGAGGACACTCATGCCATGGCAGAGGCTGCTGGAAGGACTGGGAGAAGTAGAAGAGACTCCAGCTAATGATGACATTGTAGTAGAGGGCCACAAAGAAGCACACCTATAGGCAAGAGAGCCAAGTTTACTTCAGGTATACCAAACCAAAAGCAACACAGGGATGTTTCCTTCAAACAATATACACCAAGGAGCCACAATATTAAAACCCCTGACAGGCTAAGTGAGTAACATTGCTCATGTCGTTACAATGCAATCTTCTGCTATGAAACCTTGGGTCCTAGCAGTAATGTGGATGTTTCTTTGACATGTAGCCCCCACATAAATATTGCTGCAGACACACTTCCCCTGACAACTTTAATCCCAGATATCAGTGGCCTCCGTCATCAGGGTAAAGTGACGACCACAAAACTTTTCAGGAATGACTTGAGGAACACGACACAGAGCTCAATGTTATGACACGTCCTCTGAACTCCCCTGGTCCCAATCCGATAAAACATCTGCGTTACACACCACAACTAGCCCAATCTATGGAGGCTCCACCCTACAACTCACAGAACCCAAAGGATCCACGAGAACGTCCCAGTGCCAGACACCGCAATACGCTACAGATCACCCCACCACGATGCATTTCAGGTTACAAAATGGTTTTATTAGGTTTTAATATACACTATTTCTTGCAAAACTAATCGTTTGATGTAATAAACCATTTTTAAAAAATGTAATATTGCCTAATTTACTTGTGCTAATCATTAGTGTTGCTTCTATGCCATTCATTAATGTTAGCGTCATGATCATTCTTTTTTTTTTTTTTTTTTTCAATCGCGATTTTATCCAGTTTTCACTTTATGGATGCAGAACCAAACTGTTGAGACCCCAGTGTCAGACTCACCACACAGCTGGCAAAACCGATGCCCCCCAGCCGAGGGCTGATGTAGTTCCACACCCCAATGCTGCCCCTGCGGATCCTTTGTCCCACTGCAAGCTCCAAGAAGAACAGCGGGATGCCGATCAGTATAAGCAGGATGAGATAGGGCACCAGGTACGCTCCTGCCAGTCAAAACAATACAAACAGCAAGTCAGTTGAAAGACACGCAACAAAAGGAAACTGTGTCATCAGACACATGTGCGGCAGCAACATTTATTTCCTGATAGCAGCGCAGAAGCACATGGCCAGAAAACACACATCTGCTTTTTTTAAATCACTTTATCTGCCATGTGCGTTGTACAAACTCACATCACAGATACGGCCGCCTTCTTAACTTTAACTATACCTCTACTTAATATCTCCCTGATGGTGACACATTGACCTAAAGAGCACATAAAAACACACAGCAGCCGTTTTACCAGAGACACACACCCAAATTACTATACACACATCTGCTGCGTTTGTGTGTCTCTACCTAATATGTCTCCTATGGTGTGTGGTGCAATGAAACAATTATTCTGGAAACCAGGAAAGATAGTGAAGTCTAAAATTACCTAAATTACAGTGGGATTACTTTGGGCACATCACAAACACAGCATTCCTTTCTAGAATTAAGGTTTCAGGGTGAATAACTAACATTAAGACTGGCTGTAATAGTGTGGTACAATAAAATACGCGTGGGGGCACATCTCTTGTGACAGTCAGGGTACTTGTGAGCAGTGAGACTACCAGGCACATGATGGTTTGAAGAGAACCTAAACCTCTTTGTTTGCAAGAAAAGGCCAGAGGTTAAATGTGTTCTGTGGCACCACATTTTTAAAATAATGTGTATTTTCTTTTCCTTTTATATAATTGGAAATACAAGAGATATACTGTACGGGGAAGTGGTTTTTTTTGTTTGTTTTTTTTGTTTTTTGTTTTTTTGCTCGTGAAATGAAAGTTCCTGTGTGCACACTGAAGGTTTCAGGACCCTCACCATTGCATCATTTTAAAACTGTGTGAAAAAAACAGCCAGTCCTTTCCTAACAACACACTTCTGAAGTGTTATCACCTCAGTGACAAAGATTACCTTGGAAAAATCCCCTTTTGTGACATTCTCTTACCTCAAAGTTAAACCACAACACCAAGTGTGAACACTGGTGGATCGACATACTGTAAAGCTTGCTATGAGTCATTAATGACAACGTCAAAACTTCCGCCATGACTGTATTGTTTGTACAGGTAGTTTTTATCCCTGTTTCAACAGTTTATTGTTTCATCTGGCAGGGCGTTCATTCAGATCCTTTCCTGAGTCCTGCTGTCCCTCCCAGGTTTAGTCAAGATAGGAGTGGTCACACACAGGAAATTAATGTGTGTGTGCGCCTCTCTATCTGTTGTTTTAAGCCCGTGTGTTTGTGTATGTACAATATACTTACTGGTTTCTAATATTAAAACATCTAATTCTGGTTCACTGAGTACACAATTCGTTCTGGGAAGAGGCTTTGACATCAGTCAGCATCAAACCCTCCTCTGCTCTCCATTGTCTTTTAAAATCTTCAACAGTCTCCCTTGGACATCTAAATACTTTGATGGCACTTTGAAAACGCTAACAGCCTGATAAGAGCGCATTTCATTCTTGTCTTACTCCCTCCTTAAAATAGGTTCCCACTCTTCTTCAATTCCCTCCCGTACATGAAGGTGAGAGATCTGGTTTATCCAGTCTACATTTTAACCAGATGCCAGTCATTGCAGTGTGTTTGGCAGCCCTTTATGTACGCTGATAAAGGGCGTGGATGTTTTGAATGCATGTAGTATGAGCAACGAGAAATGGTTCACCATCTATCGACCTTAAAAATGTTGTCAATTTATAACTGAATGGAGGGTAAATGAAGTGAAAAGTGAAACAAAGGCTGATGGCCGCATATTCATGACACGCTCTTCAATTGAGTTTCTGTTTTTGAAAAAAAAAATCCCACAGCAGGTTTGGGCTTGAAAGCGACACTGGGAAGTTCCAAACGACTGCTTGGATATTGATAAATTACACACTGTCATTGAACCTCTCAGTTGTGGGGGGGTAAAAATGAAAATCGCTAATGGTGTAATTGATGTTTATTTTTGCCCTAAGGTAACACCAGAGCAAACTTTTTAATTAACCACACAAACTTTAAATTCGGCAACAAAGAGACCATTGGGTCACTGAAGTCAGAAATACAGGATTAAAGAAGACAATAAGTCTGTTAAATCTCATGTAGCAACTAAACAAGGCAGTTCTTTGAGCTAAATGCTAATGCCATTACATTAACATGTTTGCAACAAAAAAGCTAACAAGCTAATGTTTGGTATAGTGTGTACCATCTTTGTTCAGCAAGTCAACATGCTAACTAGCATAGCAACACAAAATTGCATCGTCTTTAATACAGTCTCCTGAACCAACAATGTCTAAATGTAGTGCCAGATTTCATTGCAATCCATCTCTTAGTGTCTACAGACAAGACACTCAAAATGTCAACCTTGTGAAACAGTGTGATTAGAAAAAGGCCGGAAATATCGTGGTTAGGCCTCGATATGCTTCAACTTGTAATACTTTTTATGATTAATTGACTATTTTGGTCATTGAACACTCAGGATAGAACAGAAACCTCTGTGTTTGCAGCAAAACCACAAAAGAAAACTGTACGAATGTCCACGTGTATGAACATGGGGCATGACACATACCGTTTGTTTCTGGTGTGGGAGTATAAATGTCAAAGAAAAAACGTGCACATGCATGTTTGTGTAGCTATTGTGCTCGGACATTCATTGACATAAAGCATTTATTTGATACTTACTGTTCAGTTAAACATAATCCCTCAACCAAGTCTGAAACTTTAAACAGACCTTTGAAGGTGCGTCAGAAAGTCAGAACTGGCCTAACCGTCCTCACGAACAGGGAAGGTCTAAAACTAAACTGGTCCTCAGAAAGATAGGCACTCAAACACACACACACACACACACACACACACACACACACACACACACACACACACACACACACACACACAAACACACCTGCTCCAGCCACAGATCTGCCATTTTAATCTAATTACAGTTGAACACAACAGGGTGACCAGAGCTGTTTAAAACTGACCTGAAAACATGACAGGGTCTGCAGAGAGGTTGTGGAGTCCCCTGCACTTGCGCGCACACACGCACGCACGCACACACACATACACACACACACGATCAAACATGTACATGATCTTATGTTAATTATGTACACAAACACACTTGTAAGATCATGTTGCACAGCATGGGTAGACACACACAGAGCTGGCCTTCCCCACAGTCTTTTCAGACTCTACTGCACGAAGTTGCCCACCCTGTGATCACACCTCACATCTCCCCACAGAGCACCCACCACCCACTGACCACATCACTACCCCCACCTTCCTGCCACTTTTAGCCCGAAAAAAGGACTTCATAGTGAACTTTTCCTTTCAATACACCAATTTGTTTGACTTTTGCCCGGGGCTTTATTACTGTGCTCATAACAGCATCTGCAACAATCCTAATGTGTTGTCCAATTTTCCCAAGATTTCATCCAATTTTGTGTGTGCCACCAACCAGGAATAAAAACATCATAAGAACATGTAGTGTAATATATGAACAAATATGGCCAGTTACAAATTTACTACAAACCATTGCGTGATTAAAAATCTGGATCACAATGCAAATATTTCACAGTACCAATGCAAGTCATAATAATATAGCACATAAAATAATCAAATTAATATCTTTACAATGATTGTCTCCTGTTGTTACACTTTACAACGGACTAAACTTCAGACTAATATGGAAAACTTTTATTAACTCGGGCAGTTAAAAATGATTTATTAATATAATATGCTTATATTGTCTTCATATATCACTTAAAGATAAATTATATTGTTACAGCCTAAGTCTACCACAAGTAATTTCCCCTTGGGGATCACTTAAGTATTCTGATTCTGATACCATGCATATTCCTTCACCTGTGATTCCTACACTGATATTTTGGGGACTTTTTCCCTTGTGTTTATAAGAGACTGTCGGGTCTGCCATTGAAGCGCTGCATATGATGATAAACTTAAGGGCTTGTCTGGCCGACCTGTCTGAGACAGTTGTATTTAATCAGCTTTCTTGAGGCAGTCGGTGGCTTTACATAATCTCCAGGTGGGCAGTGCAACACCCTATCACCTTCCCAGGGTTAGGGAACAACAACACTGAGGGTTGAATCAGGTAGCGCAGACGGCATTATGGGAAAAGACTGGAGCAGGTGTAAATGTGGTTATTATAAGCCTGTAACTAAGAGCACTGGAGCTGCTCACAGAATGATTTCCTGTTCGGTGCTATTACATCATGTTTTTAGTTTTCTCTGTCATATGTTTTCGAAATGACTGACACATGGATCCAGGCAGTCACGCATGTCGGTCCTGAAGGTCGCTGAGCAGTCTCGTTTTGACAGACAAGTGCTAAATAGGAAGGAAGCTGTTTACCCGTCATGTATCTCTCTGCAGGTGTTGATTCTACATGCATTTTAAGACTAGTCATGAAGATAGTTTTTAGTGTCCAATTGGGACTTTTTGAGGAGCCTATCAGCTGTTTTTTACAGCAGTATTTCTTAGCATAGCACACTTGTTTGACACAGGAATAAACAATGCGTATCTTTGAGAAATTCTGCAGTGCTGACTTTAACACTTTGTCAACAAACACCTTCATATTGAATAGATGCTGATATGGGACCCTGCACCCACATTGTAAACGCAGTGTCATAATAAAAGCTGTATGATAGTTTCTTGCAGTTGGCGCCTACAAGTCATTCTGAAACACCCTCACAAAGACAAAACCCCAAAAAAGGAAGCTGAAACTTGTGGTTTCTCTGAAAGGAGAACCTATTCCAGGCACATCACTGTCTTGTTCATATGCATAAAAAAAAAAACTGATGCAATCTATACTGCCATACAAGCGTCCCACATGAATGGATTCTTTATCCCTTCTTTGTCTTCTGTCATAACACATGCAGCCCACAGATGTGTCTGGACTTAGATTGCTACACTCTCAAAAACGAGAAGAGCGGCCGTCAGGTTTTTTTTATTGTTTCATCTATTTAAAACCTGATGCAGTCTTTGTAGTTTTTTGATACTCGTGTCATATGATGACATTTTGCACTCGGTAGACAACTGCCTGCAATGATGCTTGCAGGTTCATTCTAATGTCACTGATCTAATGTTATTTGAATCTACACTCTACCTACGCTCAAGTTAAATCCTATTTTCATTGTTTCAGTGGCAGGTACAGGTAATGAAACTGTGCTCATCAAGTTTATTTTTAGGATCTCATTGGTTAAGAAGGGAACTTGACCGAAATAGCCACTATAGTTTTCATACAAACTTCCTGGCATTTAACTGTATAACTTGCTCGTCTTGCTGGAGCTGTATGCGCATAGTTTTTACATGCAGTAAGAAATAATTACAGATAACTCAGTGGCACTTACTTTCAGTTTTAGTCCTAATAGTACCTTTGAGTTAGAAGCTGTGTCATCATATTGCCCTGCTAGACTTCTTGTTGCATTTTCACATGTTATAATAGCTGAATGGCTTATTGTGCAAGTTGTTAACTAAAACTATGAAAATAAGGCCCTTATGATGTAGTAAACCAAAATAAAGTCATACACACACAGTTGAATCATAGTGATGTCAAATTGTGAAGAAACAAGGCTATGTGAAAGTTTTTTCTAATTCATACATTGCTCACCCTTACTGTGTATATAGGTACCAGCTGAAACTGTAAATGAGGCCTGCTGCTAGTGACTCACCCCCTCCGTTCTTCTGACACAGATAGGGAAACCTCCAGACGTTGCCCAGGCCTACAGAGAAGCCAACCTGGGCCAGGATGTACTGGAGCTTGCTGTTCCAGGCCGGGCGTTCCTCCTCCTCGCCGTCAGAGCCCCCTTCCTCCACATCGCACTCTTTCCCTTCCCCTTCATGGTTGTTGACGATCAGCGAGGTCTTCTTGAAGGAATCGTCGCAGGCGTCCTCGTTGGAAAGCAGGTCTCTGACAGACTCTGTGACATCGTCGTCAAGCTCTCTCTTGACGGCCTTGCTGTTTTTGGGCATTTGATAAAGAGAACAAGGGCGAGGGGTGGAATGTCTTTTAGATCGGCGGGCTGGAAGGGCAGGGCCGGGGTCTGGGAAAAGTCACAGTTTTTTAAAAAGAGTTCGAAGAGTGTTTGGGTTCAATGGCCCTTTTGGTTTGAGACAGTTTGTAGAGGTTGAGTGATCAGGAAGTGGTTTATTTCTTCATTATCACCAAATATCTGTGTGGCAGAAGAAAAAAAAAACGCAGCAGTAAATTATGAGACAACAATAGAGAAACATTTGGTAGTTTGCAACCAGGAGTGTAGACAGTTTAGTTTCACATGTCTAGTTTCAGCTTCTAATTTCCTGCATAAATTGCTATCTGACTGCTTTTACTCTGAAATTCATTCGCACAGCCTAAGCGTACTGACTATGATAGCAAATGATGACAAGAAAGAACTTTTTTGAAACTCTAAACCTGTACACATTTGTAATTTAACTGAACAACCTAAACAGTAAAGCAGTTCTGTCTAATTTTCTTTAGTTTTAGATAAATCATATATTTCAGTCTACCTTCTTACATCGTTTCAAAGTAAATTGTTTTATCTGAAGGGAGTTATCTCTCACATGGAAATCACATGGCAGGCGGGGACAGAAAAAAAGAAAAATCGATGAATGGGGATCATTTTATTCTAAGTCATTGTTCTGGAGGGGAAAAAAGCCCTGGGAGCATTAGCCTGGCTGTGCATGGTGACTGGGACAGGGACAAGTCGAGGTATGAAGACTATCACGTTTCCAGCCTCTATGAATAATTGAAGGGACAAAGGAATTTGCATACAAACCCAAACACTACCCCAGCTCCCATGGATCGGGGAAGCCCTCAAATATGAAAGCATTACACTTCTAAAAAAAAATGTACATTTTTCTGTAATAGACGCGATGTGATTTATTTACATGCTGTATGAAATCCACTACCGGTAGGATTGCGAAAAGATTCCAGGGTGTGGGCACGCCAGCCACTCAAAGGCGGGTTAAGGTGCGCAGCATCCCTTTGATCACATTTGAGCGTCTTTGGTTTTTGCATTTTCATCCTTCACCAAAACGCATCAAAATAACAATAATTTCTCGGAATAAACGCGACGACAAAACAAACCCCCAGCACGCCTCCCTCCCGCCTTTCACCGAGCAGCGGATTAAGTGATTAATAGATTTCTTTTACCGCTTCCAGATTAGCCTGGTTTGTACGAGGCAAAGGCCGCCGTTTCATAATCCAGTGAACGCAGCACAGCAGCCCGAAGGAGCGACGATGCTGAGTAACCTTCACCGCAGTTGATACGGACAGAAGCTGCGATGTACAAGTGATGGCAATGCAGTTAATGTAAGAAAAATGAAGGAATGACTGAGCATGAGTTAACACACAAAAGGCTTCTCAATTTTCTTTGCTTTTTTTTTTTCTTTTTGTCTGCACATGACTCAGGAATGATGAGTGGTAAAAGGGGGCCGTTTTGGTTTCCAATGACCAAACTGCGGATGGAGCAATGGAATAAAATAAGAATAAATAAAAATAACCCAACAAGTCACACCGAGACCATGTGGCTGGTGGTTCTTAGCCAGGCACAATTTGTTCCCCCAGGAGCCAGGCGCATAAATTACCGTCCTTCCTCCCTCCCGCTCAGTCTTCATGTCATCCATGTGCGGTGTTTCATCATTCTCTGGCCACATCCTGCGCACTGGTACCTTATTCCACCCTCCAAGACACGCGCGCGCGCGCGCGCGCACACACACATCACGCCCATCACAAGCCAAGCTAAGCATTAGTGGAGATACTGAAGAGGACACTCACCTGTGCGTACTGACAGTTTTCTGAAACGTCTCAAGGAATGAAATTGTGAGAGGACATGCACGGAGACATCATCACTCGTTCCAAGCTGACCGGTGTGTGCCGCTCCAGACTCCTGCCTCCGACTCCTCTAATCATGGTCACAAGTCTCGCTACTCCTGGAGGGGTTCTCCGCCTCCAACGCGCACATGCCAGTCTGTTATCCACTCTTTATTTATGAAACCCTTCATCGAATATCGATTTTAAAGTTTACTTATGTGGGGTTACACGTTATGCGTGTTTACAGTTTCGAGATATACTCAAAAATCTGAATTTCTTTGCTCCTGAAACCCCTGCTTTTGCTACTTGGTACGCTCCACTACGATGGTTCCAACAAGGAAAGGGGCTGGCTTAGACATGAGCTGCAATGTGCCTCTGTTTATAAACGGCCGTGTCCTTATTGGATGTCTAATTATTTAGATGACATACCGATGTATATTCTCACCATTAAAAGAAAAAGAATACAAAGTGTATTTGGTGATTTTACATGTACAAAAAAACCCCGAGGTTTTTGGCTGAAGGTCGACATTTTGCGCGTCATCTCAAGCTTCCTGGGTGCCTCGATGGAAGTGTTAACACTGGCTGGACAATACGAGCTGAATCAGGAGGGAAAACACGAAATATTCCTGTATGCAAAGGCCAATTTATTTATTTTAATCATAGTTAATTAACGCCATCATATATGTAAATTAAAACTAAATTAATTAAATATGATCTGTAAATAGGTTGCTCCATTTAATTAAAGAACTCTATTGTGCCCTAAAATGTTCATTTCAAGCTGTGCCTTCTACATTCCCACAGCCTAGAGACAAGACACCTTCCTTGATCCGATTTTGATAATAGAAGAATATTTCTTACATCCCACTAAAGTGTTATGGTGTAATGTTTTGTCTTTTTATTTGCTCTTTTTAGATGTATTTACAGTGCAGATTGTACTAAAGGGCAGTTACACATTTGTTGCCCCTCAGACTCAGTGCTATAGCACATTGACTTTGAAATACCACAATATTTGAAGTGTCAGGTAATAGGTTTGCATCATTACAGAAAGAGCAGTGTTAGATGTGGCTGCTTTAATACACAGTGCCTAAAGTTTAAGGGGTCAAAAGCCAAACAAAATGTTCTTATTTGATACTGAGCAGAAAATTATTCGCAGTAAATGGCTTCTCGAAATCTTTGACACATCTGCAGATGCTCTGAATCTTGTCATCTACCATCTCTTGCGTGTTTTCTGCTCTTTCTGCCTTCAGTGTGTGACCAAGTGGAATTCAGTTCTATCAGACTGAGATCAGGTGTCCTCAGTCATTTGAGGATTTTCCACCTCTTCACCCTGAAAATCCATTTGGTTGCTTGGGTTGTATGTTTAATATCACTGTCCTGCTGAATCATAAAATATAATCCAAACAGTTTTGGTGCATTCATCTGAATGTGAGCTCACAGACAGTTCCCGTATACCTCTGAGTTCATCCTGCTGCTTTTGTCAGCAGTGATCAATAAATGTCAGTGTGCCAGGTCCATCGGCAGACATGTCCAGACAAAACAGAAGCCCCACCGCGTTTGACACATGAGAAGGTTCCTTGAGCCGCTCTTCTTTCCCCCTCATGCTTTCCCTTTTTTATCATCTTCATAGGGTTTGATTTGTGTTTTTTCCTAAACACTGGTTTCTTTAGTAGGCTGCGTTGTGTCTTAGAGGTTTGCATCTTGTGATATTTGAAGGTCATGAAGAATCATGCATGCTACGTCCCAAAGAGTATCTTTGAATCTCTGTGCAATTGAAAGAGTTTTCTCCTCTACAAAGACTGTTTTTTGGGGTTTTTTTTTCTTTTTTCTTTTGGGTACCTACATTTTTACAATGTACCCCGACTCTGTTTCTGTACCACAAACTGGACCATCGCTGTTCTTACAATTACAATGTGAAAAGATTACTACCAATTAAACTGGGCAAATCTATGATTAAATGAAGGCAGTTGAAAATGTGATCAAGGCACAATGTTCTCTCATCCACCTCCTCACCACATTGCAGCTTTCACTGTCAGATCTCTATTGCATCACTCATTCCTTCTGTAATTGAAAACTGTCTAAATTTTACTCTTTGTGCACATGCAGGGAGAGCATGTACTCCCATTGTATGTCCATTTCATCAAAACTGAAACCTGCTGCTGATCAGCTTCATTGTTCATTTCTGGCATTGAAGTCACAATGTTTGGCTCAATGGGTTTGTTTGCTTGTTGAATTATATTTAATCTTGGTTTTGAAATACTTAAGGACAAGAGTATATTGTGTCTCTATAACAAGACGCAGGATTATGAAGCAGCTTGTATCTCCATAGAATGTTATTGCTTGCCAGCAATAACTCAATACTGGTGTAAAACCAGGCAACAATATCACATGGGACCTATCTATGATGGAAAAACTGATGTTCTCCCTGACAAATGTGTGCGACACGTTTGCGAAAAATATGTGAAAACTGTATATTAAAAACAGAATACGAAACATATATCCCATTTTTCCCCCTTTGGTTTGTTGATTGGCTGCAAGGTGCCACAGTTGGTAGCACTGTTGCCTCGCAGCAAGAAGGTCACCGGTTCGCATCCCAGTGGGGGCATCGGGATCTTTATGTGTGAGTTTGCATGTTCTCCCCGTGCAGCGTGGGTTCTCTCTGGGTTCTCTGGCTTCCTCCCACACAGTCCAAAAACATGTTAAGGTTAATTGGTGATTCTAAATTGTCCGTAGGTGTGAATGTGAGTGTGCTTGGTTGTCTGTCTCTACGTGTAGCCCTGCAATAGACTGATGACCTGTCCAGGGTGTCCCCTGCCTTCGCCCTAAGTAGGCTGGGATAGGCTCCAGACCCCCGCGACCCTGGTGAGGATTAAGTCGTGTATAGAGAATGGATGGATGGTTTGTTGATATTTATTATTTTCTTTGCTTTAAAAAAATACCTTCAACTCAAATAAAAAGTGAAATAAAGTTACATTCTCTGAAACTAAAGGGATGATACCTCACACCACTTTACTGTCAAAACCATTTTGACTTATCCATTATATTTCTTTTGCACAATACCTCAGACGTTGCATGTCCTAACTTGTCCAAAGGAAGGGAAAATTCAGAGGAATTGAATTTCAGGTGACCTAACCTAAACGTCATCATTTATCTGTGAAGTTTACAGTTGCCATATTTTGAAGTATCTAATTTCAACTATCCTGCTTTCTTCTTTCTCTGGAAAGATGTGCTTGATTTTTCTAGTTAATTCACTAAAATGGAATGTATGCCAGTGTACACTGCAAAGGAAAGACCAACACCACCCACGTCTGTGTCCTGAGTTGCTCTTGGTAAGGTGTCCGCCCACACTGTTTCAGGTGCATCATCACAGAACTCCCACAGTAGTTGTCAGGAATTTGTGTGTGTGTGTGTGTGTGTGTGTGTGTGTGTGTGTGTGTATTTGATGTCAACACAGATCCTATCACTTCCAGTTCATAAACTCTATCGCTTCTTTTTACAACTGTACTCTGCTGAAGGAATAAGAGTCTGTCATATGTGGTGTATCTCTGTGGTCCCAACATGAGCGTAGCCTGTCGTCCTCAGTGTACAGAATGTCCAGGATATTGCCTGCTCACTGCAGTTTTCTCTCTCCGCAGAAGCTGAGTAAGAGCAGCCTAAGTAGCAGGGTTATTGATCGCTGCTAATAGCCTGCATCTTATCAGCAGAGTGGCACAGAAACCTTGAAAGCAGTGAAGGAAAAACAAACGCTCATGTTAATTCTATTAGTGCATTTAGATTTTTGTTTGGCAGATGTGGCTCACCTATGAATTATTTAGATTACTGCCACCGCTCATCCAAAAGCCAAGTGAGGTATAATTGTTGCATAATCACAATGTGTTCAGAGAGCAGCAGCCAGGATTGTTGCTGCACCTGAAAACAATTGTCAAAAATGCAGTCAGGGCATGAACTGTTTTTAAAGGTGGATGAGCCCCACGTGATGTCACCAACAGTTCTGTTTCTGAACAGTGGTTTTAAAGGTTGGTCAGGTTGCTCCAATTGTTGACATCTTGGCAGCGCCTGACTCCTTCTGACTCCTAGTTAATTTAAAAATGAGCAAAGATGTGGAGCAGAAACAGATGTTACTTGGCCATGGAGTGTCCTGTGACGGTACCTAACCATCATTCAAAGTAGCCACACCCTTATTATGCATAACATTAAGCCTTAATACAATTTAAATGGGTGAGTTATATAAAAGTTTACTCCTGCAGAGTTATCACAAACTGGGAAATTATCTACAGAGACCAAAACTGATTTTTGTGCCAGGATTTAAGGTTGTAAGGATATTTATTTCTGCTGTAAAGTTGAACATTTTAACATGGGAGTCAATGAGGACTGACTCAGTTTTGGTGCCAGCCTTAAGTGGCCATTCAAGGAACTGCAGTTTTTTTGCACTTCCACTTCTGCTTCATTTCCAAGTCCTGGAGGATGTTGATTGGGTAGGAGGTGATGTCTGCTTCAAGATGTCTTTGAGCAAATTAGTTCCTTTAGTCAAAGAGTTTGCAAGGTGAGCTATGTGTCTGTATAGAGTGTGTGTACAATACTGGAAACTGTGCTACTAATAGACATCAGCATGCCAACAATGATAATGTTTATCAGGTATAATAATGTTTCCATGCCTTAAGTTAGGCCATATGACCAATGACCATATATAAAAATGGACAAAGCATTCATGACGTCAAAGTTGTGCATTTTAACATGTGGCTCTATGAGGACTGACTCAATTTTGGGTCCAGTCTCAAGTGGCCATTTGAGGTATTGCAGGTTTTGGCACTTGCAGCTTGACAAGGGCATTTCATCATAAATTATGTATTGGAAAAATATGAAAAAATGGCCTGCTGAGGACTGATAGTCCAAGAACTGGAGTGGCTAAAAAGCAGGTATGTCTACTTTTGTGGTCACTGCTTATATGATCAATTTGTGTTTTAAAGACTGCATTGCTATTATTTTAGACTGTTAAAAAATGATGATTTAATTCCCTAAATTACTCTTTTATATGACAGAGGAGAAAATAACAACCATCTCAGTAA